GTTCTGTCCTTTTATTTATAGTTAACACAGAAATATCCGTTTGGACTGTTGAATCTCGCCACGACAGATGGGGCAAAAATGAAAAGAAGGAGCACACAAAGCACAGCAGCATAGGTGTCCGCAAGGTAAAAAAACGATTTGTAATTCCTCGTCTAAACAAATGTGACATTTTCCTCGAGCCTGGACGTCTGGTTGTGGGTTCAGTAGAGGTTTGATCTTAATGAAAGGTTTATATCCCTGCTTCTCTAAGTCCCCGACAAATATACTCATCACCCAGCTTCGACCCTTATACTGATTGATGTAAGGACAATTGGGATTCCAATAAGCATGTTCTGCATAAGGATCCTCCTCAAGATCCCAATTGGTTAAAGTCATTCCACAATGAAAACAGGTAGCGTTATCTTTCATTCCCCTGTAGTAAAACCCAGCTCGAGCTAGGTCTGGTATTTTTCCTAAGAGAGGTTCTGGCCATCCCTGCTCAAAAGTAGCTTCTCTCTTTGAGAGCTGAGCATACTGGGGAAAACGCATGGGTTGGTCTGGCTCGCGACTCCCCATGATTAGAAATGACCTTTGATTTTGAATAAGAATACCTTTTTATAGAGAAAAAAAAACAACACATAAAAACAATTCAATTTTTTATTTGTAACAAACAAACAAACAAACATATCAATAACCATAAGGTAAAGTGTTATAATTCTCTACAATTTGTCTCTTGTCATATACAATTCTAACTGTTTTCTCTGAAGGTTTGTTCACCACCTCACAATCCCGGGTCCTCTGGATTTTGCTGGGATAGGGGACTTTTACTTCCTCTATTTCTCCCTTGAGCATTTTTTGTAAAGTCTCTGGGCACACCAACTGAGAGGTTCGATGGTTGAGAGTGACCCCTTTGCATTTATGAACCTCGGTTCCTTTGTCCGTTCGGAAAGCATAATTTTTAGGACCTGCCGACATGAATTTGGTGATGTGATCCCCGTCTAATTCGTCGGTCCATTCTCCTAAACTATTGCCCAAAGTAGGATTAAAAGCTCCTTCCTTATGTTGGTAAATGATACTGTCCGTATCGAAATAAAGGCCCCGTTCTTCTAAAGGTCGTAAAGTCTCGTAGAGATGTAAGCGAGCATAGGCGGTGGTAAAACAAGCTAGGATCACGTTTCCAAAGGGACATTCTTCGACGAATTCCTGTTTGTCTTGAAAATTCACTAGCATCTTGTCTTCAATGGAATCTTCTTTATTGACTAAGAGTCGCACACCCTTGATGTCGACCGTCGAATTTTGTAAGAGTTGATGTAATTCCTCTACTTCGTCCAAGTATCTGACTTTGGGTAATAACAAGCGTTGAGCAAATTTTCCCCACAGACAATTTAAAAAGAGTTTAGCAATGGTTCTTAACACTGGATTCTTCTTGATACTGAGAATGTCCATCATGAATCCTTCTTTGTATAACACTTCTCGAATGTAATCTTGTTCTTGTTCTGAGGTCTTACATTCGGAGGGAAATCCGGACGCTTCCTGTTTGATCTTGAGGAAGGTATCGATGTAGTCTTTAAATAAGTCTTGACTGCGTTCTTTGAAATGCCACACTTCGTAAGTTTGCTCTAAGGTATACCCCATGTCCAAGGCTTTATGTAATTCGCACGTCACCCAAGTACCCGTGAGACTACGTTCCCGATCGGTGTGTTGACATGGGTGTTGAGACGTAGAGTCTTGTTGTTGGGCACAGGTGCGACATAAGGGAAATAATAACTTACCTCCCGTCCGATAAGGTAATACGGGGTGAAAGAGGCCTCGGGGTGGTAAGACCCGACAGTGAATGAGACCGAAATAACTTCTCACGTCCTGGAAGTCGTCTGTGATGATCTCGGGATGCCCTAGGGGAAAAGGTCTGTGTTTCAACACGTAAGGGTATAAGGAACACACGTCCACGTATCTCATGTCCCCTTCTTCACAATATAATTTAGTGGCATTGGTCCGGCCTCCGTACAGGGCTTCTCGAGGTTTCAAAGGATCCGGAATGTCCAGATCTCGTACAAATTGCTGTAAAGTCTCATCTTGTTGCACTTGTTGATCGAAATCGTGCTCCCAGATACTACACACGTTGTACCCCATGTCCTCTAAATCCGCAGTCCTTCTGAGAGTTTTCTCGTGTAATTGTTGGTAAGTAAATTGGGTCCGGTGAGGATGAGTTTCCGTCTGTAAACTGGGATAGCAAGTGGGGCATCCGTGCCAATAGCATCCGTAAAATTCGTAGACGGTACGAGTCGCTTCCTGGTATCCGTCGACGGTATAATTTCCGATCGGGACTTCGCCTCCGTTTCTGGCATGTCGTATGTGACATCCATTCTGATGACTCATCCAGGTGAGCCATCGACAGGCTTTGGCCGAATATTGTCGTGCCGGATCATACCCGAGGTTCGGAATGATGGCAATGCTGTCTTTAGGCATGAAATTTCGACGGTAGGCTAAATTAGCAGCACTGGCAAACGTGATGGATTCCTGGAAAGGGTCCACGTTGACCAACTTCTTGAGGGTGCTTCTAAACCGTGCACAGCATTTGTGTAAAATGTCGACGTCCGAGACACAATACCCTACAAACTCTTTCTGGAAATCAAACACTTTTCCCCTCTGTTGGTCGTACCATTCGTAAAAAGCTTTTCGTCCACTGGTAGTCATTTCGTCCGGATTGTAGAAAGCTGCCGGTGGATAAGGTCCCACGTAATTCTGGTTCTGTTCCGTATTAAAAAAGTGAGGGAAATAACCTTTCTTCATTTCGTTCAAATCGAAAGCGGAGGGCATCTGGGCCAAAGGAAAGGTTAAGAAACTATACGAGTCGATGAATTTGAGTCCACATATTTCCATGGACAAGATCTTACTCCCGTTCATGATCACGCTAGGTTTCAGGGGAGAAGAATGCACTATGTAATTCAAAATGAATTGTCCGTCGTATCCTTTGAAGTTATGGGCGATGACGATGGCCCCGTCGTGTACTAAAGTGGAATTCTTAGTACCTGTAGTGGGTTGAAATAACCAGTCCATGAACTTCTTTAAGGTGTCTGGGCCTTGAAATAGGTGCTGACGGGGTCCCATGTGTTGACAATGAGGACAAGGTTGGTCTATGTCTAAGTCATCGCAATGTTGACAGACGCGATGTGCCACACACAGATTAGGAACGTGAATGCCCGATTCCTGAGTGCATTCGAAATCGAAATAAATGGTAAACTCTAAGGTGCCTTTTCCCTTCTTCTTCTTCTTCTTGGGTTTCTGTGGAACGTAGCACCGATGATCGGCATCGACGATTTTCTTACAGATCTTACACTGTTTCTGATCTCCGCATTTGTGATGAGGAAATAATTTCTTAGGTATCCAGGACTGACACTTCTCGCATAATCCCATTAAATTGCAGACAGTAGTGGTGGTTTTCTTACCATGGGGTTTTAAATGATCTTCGTAGCAGGTCCTGTTCTTAAACATTCCATGGCATTCCTGGCATTTAATCTCGATCCCTTCATCGGGACATTGAGGGTGATGTCCTAAACAAAAGGTACAGCGATGAGGGCATTTGGAGCGATGGTCTGTGACATTCCTGTACCCCACGTCGCAATGATCACAGTAATATTGGTTCCCCGTTACTCCCGGCATCGATATGATGGCATCGCAATGACGGTTGTCTAACAAAATGTTCAAACAAGTTCCATCTCCCCAGCCTTTGAAGATGCGCTCTAAACAGAGTTTAGTGGAAGTAGATTTGAACTGAAATATTTTCAGACGATACCGAGGAGCTAACACCTGTTGTAATTTCCACCACTCTGCAGATCCACACGCTTGAGTGATATCACATCCGGCCTGTTCCATGAGAGATATGGCTTCGTTCTTCTGGTCCAAGGATTTCTTATCTCCCTTCCGCATACGGAGCCAACGTTTTTCCCATTCCGGGTCTGGATGATCGGGTTTCTGACTGTGTAATCGAGTGACGACGATGGCTCTAGCTAAACACAATTTATCATGGGGATTGACGATCCGAACGATGGCTCGTTTATTTTTCTTGAAAGTCTCCTTATCCAGTTGTAGATGTTTGGTTCTGTTTCCACCACTCCCCTGGGGATTCTCGATGTGTAACAGTTGGAATTCCGTGGAGCCGTCGTCGATTTTGAACTCCTTTTTGGATTGTTGCACACGATTTATTTCTTCAAAAATGACGTCTTCGTTTAATTTTTTACATTGCATAAACCCATAAGAAATGTCCGAATCCAAAGATGGGTGTTTTATGTTCAGGCTAAGGTAATCGTTAGGATCACACTGCATTTTCGATTTGAAGTCCTGTAACATGTTTTTGAATAATCGTTGAAGGAAAGCCGTGGTTTCTTCTTCTTCTGGAAATTCATCGAAATGAACGACATATTTTTTTTCATGCGCTTTAAATTTTGGTGAGGTCCTTTCTTCAGCTAGTCTCATGTGATAATAATCAGAAATGGGTTTAGGTGGTAAATCTATTTCTCTCTCGGTACTTTTTCGTTTCAATGTTCGTCGAGGCTGTACCTGTTTTTCTCTAGTAGAATCCATGTCTATCAGGTGATGGCTCTGAGAGTAAAATGAACCCAAAGTCGAAGAAAACCGTATTTATATACAGTGGATGACGTCATAATGCACAGGTAAGCATTTTTGCACACGGCCCTAAACAAACTTGGCTCGCTGCCAAGTATTTACCTGTGTAGTCAGCATATTTTTTGCACACGGCTCTAAAAAAATTTTGCACAAGGCCCTGTGTAGTCAGTTTTTTTGCACACGGCTCTCTTTACAGGTGATGCAACAGGTATATAAAGCTGAGCTGGGAGTACCCTGCACTCATTGTACCCATCATGTATTTCACGTGGAGATTATATAAGAAAACGCAGATCTATTGGTTTGATGTAAAAAAATATGTTTGTCATTACTGTGATCAGAATACGATGAATTATAAAACATTGACAGTGTATAAGGTATATATAAGAAAACTATCCGGGATGGCATCAGAGAACGTACAGGATTTGTCAGCATTTGAAATGCCATTTCCACACTGGTATGTGGATGATGAGCCTTCTTTAGAAGATTGCGGTTGGAGAGTAGCTGGTGCTGAAATACTTCATACACAAGAAAGGAATTGAGAACATACTCCTCCCCGATGGATGAAAATGACTATAAATAAACCGTTGAAAGAGATGTATGATGTGAACCAGGAAAAAGACTACAAGGAAAAAATGGAGTGTGCGAACAATGTCGGCAATTCCGTGTTTTGAGGAATGTGTGAAGAAACTCTTTCACGGAGAAAAGAAGTCCTGAAGAAATGTCCCTTATGCCGATACAGTGGAAATTAAAATCATTTTTGTATTTTTTCATTGTGAATAAAAATTGAATCAAAATCTGTCTTGTTTGTGTTTTGTTTTCAGTAAAAAAAAAATCCAGGTGGTTCTTGTCTTTCAGTAAAACCAGTTCAAACCGGTTATAGGACTGTCTAGACTGTGAAGCGTGACGTCATAATCACATTCTTGAAATGTTTTTTGCACACGGCGCATTTTTTACCTGTATAGTCAGCATAAACAAAACGTAGTACCTACGTATAGTGTAAACACACTCCGTATTTAGGGGATAGGGTTAGGGGTAGGGGTAGGGGGTTAGGGTTAGGGGGTTAGGGTTAGGGGGTTAGGGTTAGGGTTAGGGGCTAGGGGTTAGGGTTAGGGTTAGGGCTAGGGGTTAGGGTTAGGGTTAGGGCTGTACTCAGTTGACCCGCCTAGCCCCAGGGTTAGGGTTAGGGGTTAGGGGCTAGGGTTAGGGTTAGGGTTAGGGTTAGGGTTAGGGTTAGGGGTTAGGGTTAGGGTTAGGGTTAGGGTTAGGGGGTTAGGGGGGGGCTAGCACTGCACTCAGTTGACCCATTTATCCCCTCCAATCCAATCAAATTTCTGATCACGTGATTTCTCTCAGCCAATCGCGGGACCGTTTAAAGAATGTTCTAGAAAAAAACAGCAGTCTCATTTAAAGTCATCATTTCGTAAGTTCTATGTATGGCACGCCAAATTCACAAAAATGAGCTAAACATAGTTTCACAGTCGATAACCCGGGTTTATCGGTTGTAAACTATAGTTTACGGACTGTAAACTATAGTTAACAACGTTAATCTATATATGGCACGCCAAATTCACAAAAATGAGAGAAACCTAGTTTCACTTTTGATAAACTAGGTTTATCGACTGTAAACTATAGTTTACAAACCGTAAACTATAGTTAACGATTCGTTAAGTATAGTTAACGATTCGTTAAGTATAGTTTTCATCTGTAAAACTATATTTAACGGTTGTTAACTATAGTTTACAAATGATAATCTAAGTTTATCTGTCTGTAATAAGCGTTAACAATAGTTTTTGTTGATAAACATAGATTCACGTTTGTAAACTATAGTTTACAATTGTAAACTATAATTAAGAGTTGTTAATCATAGTTTCACAAATCGTGAAACTATATTTATCAGATTGTTAACTATAGTTAACGGTTTGTAAACTATAGTTTACAAATCGTGAAACTGTATTTATCAGATAATCTATGTTTTGCAATCGCAAATGATTGTTTTCAGTGTTAAGTATAGTTTACGGTTGTGAAACATAGATTATCGCGTTAACTATAGTTTACAGATGTAAAATATAGATTAACGTTGTTAACTATAGTTTACAGTCCGTAAACTATAGTTTACAAGCGATAAACCTAGTTTATCGACTGTGAAACTATGTTTTGCTCATTTTTGTGAATTTGGCGTGCCATAGTTTAATTACGGTTTGTAAACTATAGTTTACAGTCGATAAACCTAGTTTATCAATTGTGAAACTAGGTTTAACTTATTTTTGTGAATTTGGCGTGGTCGATACAATTTTATCTCATATAACTATTTTTTCGTTGATTGTATATGAATGAACTATATATGTACCAGGTAGATGAGATATTGTTTATCATTTGCACGTTGTGTGTTCTGCTATTCTTTGGGAATAACTTAAGTTCAAAATCCTTTGAAATTGGCAATCTTTCCATATAAATTTTGATACACTGGTGTCTCTCTTCGAATCATGCCATGATTATAACATGTCCGTTTGTCATTAATGAAATCGCTGGTTTATCGATACCGTCACATTACTCATTAAGGCTCAGGATTGTTACCACAACAAAGTTACTTAAATTTGTAAACCCTAATGATGACTTTCGATTTGTCATGACAGAAAAGAGAATGAACCCATCAGAAACTATTAACAAATCACTACAGTACCACACGACAGCGACTACAACCCACCCGATAAAACGTCTTTGTATTAATGTGATTATTGAGAAAAAGTTGCTTTCCATCAGAATATTTCTGTGTCGCGTATCAGCTGTTTTCTTTGTTTTTTAAGAGGTCTCATTATAGCTCGGTCGGCTAACGCTGGGTAATGCACCTGAAGGTTAAAGTCCTTTTTTCTGTTGTTGATGTCGCTTTTTCCAGCAATTAAAATCCATATCACTAATATGATATAATCCTTTATACCATAAAGTCATCTGGGCTGTTTAATTGAATTGTTCTTTTGTAAAGCCAATATGCCATAGTGATGCAAAATCAATTTAAGTAACTCAACTCTATTTTTGGTCGAAAGAATTTTATAATGAGTTGATCTGTTCGAAGTAAAATACAATGTTCTATTATAACTAAGTAACTTAGAAAAAAATAATAGCACGAGGTCGTCATAAGTATGGTCTTCGACTTAAGTACCCTTTATGTTACGACCTCCAGCAGAACTAGGGAATATTGGCAAAAAATTTAATTCTTTTGTTTGAGTAATTTCAGACATTTTTTTCTTTGTTTTTTCCTAGTGTCTTTTGATCCTGAAATCTAGTTTAACTAGACTTTATGATCATTGTTTGATGTTTGTCGACAACTTAATGAAATCACATTAACAAAGTGCGCTTTAGGACAACACAGCAGGCTCGATTTATGAGGCAGATGTTCATCTGGAAATTATCATTTGGACATATTTAAAAACGAGATTAAATAAAATCTATAGGGTGACATTTGGTGTCATTGTACTTATATGCACCTACATATTCTGCGTTTATTTGTTTTCATTTCATTTTCCAGAGAACATGAGTCTATATGATGTGAACAGAACCAATCTACAGACCGTGTACAACGTCATTTATGGATATATGCAGAACAATTACGACCCACACTGGGACAGTGGTAACAGGACGTTATTATGGTGGCTGAACGACACCGGGGAAAACTCACTTCTCCACAACGCCAGGCTGTTTTACTCTTACTGTACGCCGTTAGTAATAGTCATCGGACTTTTAGGGAATGCTCTCTCGCTGTGTGTGTTTATGACCAAGAACCTGCGCAGTCTCTCTGCCAGTACATATTTGTCTGTCCTGTCCGTGTCAGATCTTTTGACCTTACTGTTTTACGTCACGGTGGAATGGCTTCGGCGGGGACTTGTCTACCTGGATCCGGAAATGAGGAACAAAACCCTTTTCTTCGATGAAAATGTGGTATGTCAGTTCCAGCAGTATATGGCTTATGTTTCTAGGCTTCTGTCGACATGGATTGTGGTTGCGTTTACATTGGAGCGGTACATTGGCGTTTGCTGGCCATTACTTAGAAAAATAATTTGCACCAAACGCGGAACTAAGCGCATTATTGGTGGCATTATTGCGTCTTCAACGATCGTTGTTCTCTACAAACCTATTCTAAGTGCCATTTATGTTAGTGCTAAGGGGAATCGCTACTGCACCACGGCCGAAAACTACAGCTTTTTGTCTTTTATTCTGGACAGTATTTATGCCATTTTGATGAGCATGATACCCTTTATAGTCATAGTAGTCCTCAACATCCTGACCATTCGGAAGATCTTGTCAAGGAATAAGAAACGAAAAAGCCATAACAACATAGTAACTGAGGAGAGTGTAATTCGACTGGAATTCACCATTATTTTATTGGTAGTATCATTCTGTTTCATCGCCTTCAACGTGCCATTTTTTGTAGTGTGGTTGCGGACCTTCCTGCATTCCAAACACCTCTCCAATACAGAGGATTTAGCCGCATATGCGGACCCGGATGTAGATTATTGGCAGGGAATTCTATATATAACAAGAACCATTTTCAATATGAACTATTGTATTAACTTCTTTTTGTACATCATTGCGGGTGCATACTTCCGACGAGAAGTTAGAATGTTGTTTTCGCGCCATTCCTTTCGAGATCTACCCTACTCTCTTTGCTCTCTACGTCTGAACACCCGTTCAAACACTCGCACGCATAAGACATATCTGTGAATCAGGATCATCGGTGCATTGGAATCATAAGCTTTTAGGCATTCGATCTCTCACTTTTGAAGTAAAACAGTCTACAACTATTGTACATGTATATTAATGAGAGAGTCAAGAAGTGCAAGCCAACCGAGGGAACTAGGCTTGCTGAATGCTTGAAGGGAATGGAATCTTGCTGACAACCTCAATGCTTAAATACGATAAAAAAAAAATAAACCTGTACATTCAGTTTTATGCAAATTACAGGCGCACAATGAAAATATCGATACCTCAGAATGTAGATAAAATAATGAAAACCCTCAATAGCAAGGCACTGCAATTCAATTAATGGTCTGCAGAGTACATGAATCTGCAAGCAATACTAGTATTCTCTATATTAGGCCTGCCTCCTTATATGTAACCTTCACTGAGCTGCGTTTTTGAATCTGGAATCTAAAATTTGCGAGGTGTTCAATAAGTGTGTTTAACTGTGTATCAGTTCATCAGACTGACGCACTGATTTTCAAAGAATCGAAAAATTTTTTTTTTTCTTATGTAGTGAAAAATCTTCGTTACATACACAGAGATTTACTTCTTCATTATGAGAGAAAACTTGCGCGCCATCTAGCGTTAATTCAGATAATGTCTGTTTTTAACGCCATCTAGCGTCAATTCTGTGAATGACTGTTGGTTTTGCATCAGTGATCGTTGGTTTTGCATCGGAGTCTGTTGACTTTGCAAACGAGTCTGTTGATTTTGTTTTAAGGTGGTCTGTTTTGTATTTCAGCATGTTTTTTTAAAATAAGTTGTTAGTTTTGCATTAACATCTTTTTACCCTTTCCGCCGCCCATAAGAGCTAGAATGTTTGGAAAATATAAATACAGCGATGGTACTATTTTAAATACACACAAGCATTACCGCACTTACACAGAAACAGAGCAATCTGAAATAAGAACTTTTCTCTAGGCTATTCTCATAAATATGATTTGTAAGTACTCTCTATTAACTTTACTCATTGTTCAATAAAATCATCAAAAAATGATAAAGATATTTTTAAAATGTTTCTATATTGCTGATTTCACGCCATGCACAATAGGGCCGCCTATTTGGTGTCAGATCCGATTGTTTGATATGTTCCCTTTCTATCTGTTTTATGGTTCTCCTGTTTATATTTAGACATTCGAAAGTCCTGACTGATGAAAAACTGACATCATTGCCAGAATACATTTTCATCGTGTTTTTATTGTTTGTTTTCGATTTCTTTTCAATAACAAACTGTCAGAGTAAAAAAGTGAGGAACTGGCTGATAATGATTTAGAGAAAGTTTCAAGAATATGTTCCAAGTGATGTCAAATTGCTCATCAAATTAAACGCAGATACACCAAAATTTATTTACACTGTATTTCATAATAGTCCTACTGCAGTATTTTTTAAGCACGCAGAATAGTTTAAGCAGCAGTGTCAGCCTCTTAACACTGTCTTCTTCATGCTCCAGTATAGCCTAAACAGCGGAGCTGCTCCTCTTGATTTGCCCCTACAGTAGTCTAAACAGCAATGAAGGTTTCAAAAAGACAACATGCCTATTGTTTGTTTTTCAATCCTTGTCCTTAAGGACCGTCAGTCAATATTAATTATTTCTAGCGGTTTTTTAATTAAACCTCTCTGGAACGCAGATTTTCAAATATTTGCAAGGCAGATGGCATACAAAAGTATTGAAACTGGAGCGTTACCAGTGGACGCTTAGCTACATGGGCACTGACTGGACCTATAGGTATTGTGTGTAATATTTTTTCTTCTTACCCCATCACCAGTTTAATAGCATGGCTCTGTGAGCCTGAATGAACTGCACAACTATCACTCTTAAATTCTATATTATATAGACCAACGGCGACATGTTGACTCACGGGACACCATATAAAGTGACAAATTGTTATTTGAGAAGAGAAAATAAATCATAAAATTATATAATGCACTGTTACAGAAAAAGATTATTTGATACATTAATATTTACATTTCCAATGTCTTTGTCCGAGATAAAATTACCAATTGTAAATGTAATTGATTTCCTCATGAATGTTTTGGCGCGGTTCCAAAAAAAACCACGTGCAGGGCGGGACAACACCTAGGGAGAAGCAGGCTTGGAGCCCGTGGATTGGCGGAATCAAAGCATGTAAATATAAGGAATAACTGTCTTATTTTTCGAATTCATGAAGATGATCAATGGATTGGCTTGTGTGATAATTTTATGCATAAACGCCTTCGGCGTTTATGCAAATTATCACACAAGCCAATCCATTGATCACTTCATGAATTCGAAAAATAAGACAGTTATTCCTTAAATATGGATTGTTTGAGGACATTAATTGATAAGACATCCTAGATCAATAACATTTTGCTGTGAATATTCAATTTTCTAAGGAGATATGCTTCCATCATTTTTATATCTTTAATGATGTGTTTGATTGATAATAAGGACGAGATGAGCTGTTTGTCGTCCATAACTGACCTCGAATTGTTTTTAGACTCGTTTAGATAACGAACTACACATATCTGCGTTGTTGTAAATAAATGGTGGGGTAAACGAACATTGGTCAATCTGAAAAAAAAAATCTATTATTAATACAAAGCTGTGAACAGGAAATGAAACACGAACTCTTGAAAATTCCAGAGGTTGGGTCAGGTGCTTAGCTAGGAGGAGTAAGCATTCCCTGTAGACAGGTCACAACTGCAATGCGCCCTATGTTTTGATAGAGAAAATATATTTCGTTGTCAAATTCAGTATGAAAACGAAGTCTTAACAATTGGTACTCGTGAAACACGTCAGCCAAAGTATGAACCAATAATATATATATTTGCTTACATTGACATAATGTAGTAAGGTCAAAATAAAATTTATTAGAATATTAAATGTGTTTGGTTATATAATTTAATGTGATTTCAATATTTACCTGGCCATGTGCTTGTGTTGTGATTTGAGTTGTGTGTAGTGTTTTGTCCAGTTTGGTAGTGTCATGTGATGCATTATTATGGTAATTGAGGGCTTGCCCTTTCCTGCTTTTGGTTAGGTCAGTTAGGTCATTGTGTATAACTTTACCGGTCAGTCAGGTGGTAGATTTTCATGCAATTCATGCTTCTCACATTCTACCCAGACCTTGGTCCTGATAGCAGCAGGTTAGATTTCTCTTACTAATTTTACTAATTTGTTAATTAATTCTCCATACTTTTGACTATGACATTTAAAGTAAATATAAAGTTTATCTAAAGTTAAAAATTTGAATAAGTTGATAATTTTGTTTAGTTAAAGGTTTTATTGGTTTTTAAATAATCTGAATGTTGAAAACTACATTTAAGTGTGTATGCAGCACCTTGAAATGTTTTATATTATTTTCATAGCAGCAGGTGCTGGTTTCCCGTTTTTTGCATTGATCACAGTATATTTACAAGCCCCCAGACACATTGTCTTTGGTAAGAACGTGTATTTTGTTATTTTAGATATTTTATTACTTCGAATTTGTTAAGGAAGCTACTGGCTATAAAGTATGTTTGACAAATATTTTTGATTTACCAAGCTTAATTACCAAAATCCATTTTTACTTCTATTTTTATGTTTTATCTGTAAAGCCCCATAAATCTGTTCAGTTGGAATTAAGAGTTATTGCCCTTTATTCAGAGTGCAGTATTGTTATCATGAGGGAAAGCCATCTTCGCTAGCCAAGGGTTTCCGATCCGAAATCTACTTTACAACAGTAGATTTCGGACAATCGGCAATCCTCGGCTGACTCCGCTACGCTCCATTCAAACCTCGGATGTGATAGGTGGAGGAATACGCATCAGATCGCTACATTTCTCCGCCGGAAACTGCCTTGTCACTCATTTCATATTTCGCTCTGCCTTAAGTTCTTAGAAAAGGTTTCTTTATTTGTGTGATTCCTCGTGTTAATTACAACCAAATGTTATTATTCTTTGAACGCAAGAACATAGTGCTGAGTGTGCATCAAAGTAACTCGGATTTCAAAAGTATAATATTTGAATGAAATTCAAAAAAGATCACATGACTGAATCAGCAAGATGGAAGATCACCGTTGACGTCCGAGGTAATGTGCGAGGTACGAGTCATCCGAGGAACTCCGATTGGATTTCGGATCCGGATCGGAAACCCTCGGTTAGCGAAGATGGAGGGAAAGCATAATGTTTAACATTTTGTTATACCATTATATTTCATATGATGTTTGTTTGTTTGTTTATGCTTGTAATTATTTGCTTTGCAGATTTACATGTATTTATATAAATTATATTTACAATTTTAGGGCTCATCATCGATCATTCAATCAGAATTCAATATATAATAAATTCATGAACCCTGACAGCGTCTTGATTCTTATTAGACCTGTAACAATAATAGCGACTATATGATTGAAAATAGATTTTACTCGGAGTATACTCCTGAGTATTGGATAAATTTGAGATGTAAACAACATATGCTATCGCAGTTGATATTATACAAATATTGCATGTAGTTAAGGGGTGAAAATTTTCAATGTTACAATCAACTACATGCAATATTTATTATACTATACTGGATCTTTTACACAAATACATATATGTAACAGTGAACCGTGCACGCATAAATTCTGCGCAGTCGCTATTTTTTTTTTAAATATCACCCGTCGTGAGGCACTGTTGACTGTTGCTACGCTAGAGGGCGTGGCTTCATTATTCAGCGGGTAATAGTGTTTTTTAACAAATGTTTCTCGACCAATCAGATTCAGCTAATTTACATGATAGTATAATATTATAAATGGGTTCCGTTACTCTAATCATATCATAAACCTAATGCTCTCGTGAATATTTGAAGTCGGGATCGGGATGTTTAACTCTACTTTTCTTTTCCCAATAACACTTCAACATGGACACTAAAGATGTAGCGGTATTGAAGCTCAACGATACTACAGAGGTTTCCGTTCACTTGCATGGTATAATTATTTTATTTTATAGATATTTGTATAAAGCACGTGAATGTGTCACAAGTAGCTCAGGTAGTAAGCTGTCAAGATATTTTGTGAATTGTGTCCAAGTAAAATCAACAAGTAACGTATCACTTAATGAGTTATTGACTCATAGACATACATATTGAATCATACAGGAACAAAGATAGTCATACTGCTATGTAACATAGTAAATGTTATGTTCAATAAACCTGTTTAATACTTGATTATTAGGGCCTAGTGTTTATCCAATATCCAGATGATAAAGTTAGCTTTTATGATCTGAATTACACATTGCTTAAGAATTTTTTAGGTGCCACTATAATATCCTGGAAATGCAAGGCCCAAGAAGTGCTGTTTGTCAGGTAGGCTGGGTGATTTTACCCAATTTGGTTTTACTGGGCAATTCTCTAAATCTGGGGCCGATATTCGGCCCGTTCCCAATGCAAAAAAGGTACCAAAAAGGTTCAAAAAAGAAAAAAGGTGTAAATTTCCCATTTCCATAGCAAAATATTAAAAAATAAAAGTCCTTGAAACTTAATTGCCAAAAAAACAAAACAAAACAAAATGTTAATGCACTTGCAAATGAAGGTGAAACAAACTAGTTCTATGTACAACTATTAATTAGTTCGCGCCAAATGCATTCGTAAACTGGTTTGGGGAACCAGGTTAGTGTTATTACAGAAATGTGTAAAGTTAGTGCAGAGTATCTTGTCATGAAAATCGAGAAATACATCATTTTGGTTTCAAAAATAGACATTTCATTGAAACATTAGTAAGCTGCACCTAGAAACATGCTCATGCTTCAGCATGTTCAGTCTTGCGCTGAATTGGTAAGCAACGTTGTCCATGTGATCGAGGAAATTTGGGATTATGTGACTAGTGACTGTCACTCAGAAAGACAAATAACCGCAATATCAACACTCAAAGATAGTTATGACAAAGCTAATGTACTTTCATAAATAGCCTACTTTAACTGTTTATTCAAAACTAGAGTTAAATTGATGACAAAATGCTAGAACTGCAGTTTAAGGATTTTTTTTCAATGAATGTTGGTCATCCAACTTTTCTCAAATTGAGGATAATTTTCCCAATTTGAATGGCCCCGGACCCAGTCCCAAAAAGTGGTGTGAGAGCCCTGCTGGGTATGTTAACCAGTTAATACCAGCTAGTTTAATAATTGGTCAACTATATAATTATTCATGCCCAGTCATATAACTTTTGGCATATTGACTTTGGCAATTTTTGAATTTTATAATCATTGGCTCAAAATATTTCTTCAGTAAAAATGCATTGTTTGACAACAAAAAGGCCATCCGTGGAGGAATACCTCTTGTTTTCCGTAAGTATATCCTTTGATTTTTTTTATTTTAGCTCATTTTAATGAAGTTGAGGGAACTTTGTACAAGAGCACATTCAAGCATGCTAGCTAGATCAAAGAAATGGGAACACATGTCTTTCATAGTGCATTTGTATTCGATGCCCCATATTAATCAGATACATTGATGATGCATATTACACAATTATATGAACTCTTCTGGTGTTTAATATGGTTTGTTATTCACCAGAAAAAAAATCCTGACCAAATTTGCATAAATGTTGCATTTTGATTCAAATCCTGGATCTGACCTACTGGATTTAATAGTTATTTTAATTGCAATTAATCTTGAACAAAAAGAGGCTAAACCAAGGATCATTATCAGTATTCTTTTCATTTCCTCTGCATAGTCTAAAACATGTTTAAGTTCATTTGCTAGTTTTTTTTCAAACTAGTGGAGATACACAAACAATCTATCGATTAATTTCTTCAGGGTCATTTAATTTTTACTTTAAGAATAATATTAAACACAGTAGTTAAATTACTTTTTTAAAAGCTAAAAAATGTGGAAATATTGTCAAATAAGTTTGATTAAATATTAACTCACTTAATTAGCATGCTTTGGCCCATGGGAAAAGGGACCTCAACATGGATTTGCAAGAATAAAAAGATGGAGGAAAGAATCTGAATCGAAACAGGTAATTCTTCTTTTTTTACCTGTCTATTGATTTATGATTTTTATTTTAATAAGTGACTGTTTCATTAACATTAAACATGAGGGAATGTTTTAAAAATTCTTAATGTGAATGAAAAGGTGGCTAAGATTTTGTGTTAACTTTGAATGATTTCTATTTTCCTGAATTACTATGAGCTTGTCAGTGCATGCTTTGTAGAACAATGGCAGAGCCTCTATGTCATTTTCACTAGAGGATGATGAAGAGACAAGAAAAATGTGGGATTACAGGCAAGTTCTTCATGCATTTATTATTTCAAGTTCTGATGTAAACTAGCCCCACTTTTCCCTACTCTCATAAAATAAGACAACTTTTATTTGTTTCAGATTTAAACTTGTATACAATGTTGATCTGGGAGAAAATGATTTGAAGCTTACTTTGACTGTCAACAACAATGGTTAGTGATTCATTTAAGTGAAATCAGTCATTCATGTTCCTGTTTTGGATGTGTACCCCATGTATGGCAAAGGATTACTATCTAACGATTCTAATTCTAGACTTCAAGGCTTTTGATTTCACCACTTTGATGCACACTTACTTCAGATGCCCCGATATAGCAGATGTCGGGATTCATGGATTAGAAGGACTACAGTACAATGATAAGGTTCAGAATTAGTAACATTGGTCTGAAGTGAAAGGAAACAGAATCCATGAAAACTTT